CTTCACAGGTAATTTAGTTTATGAAAAAGAATGAAAGACTAACTATTAGACAGTAATATGATCAGATTACCAAAAGCTTCAAGGTGCTTCTATTTCAGTTCTCAGCCTGATATGTATTTAAAAATATCTCCACTTAGAGTAGCTACTGTTAATAGTGCATTATGGAATCTTTTTTAGGTAACAGCTTGGATGATAAAGAAGCCATTATCTTTTATATGGTGTATTTAACCATATAAGTTAAATTTCTAACAGACTGAAAAATAGCTGTGGTGTGTTACACCTCACTTCCTGTTCTGTTCAGCTTGCTTTATGTGTGAGCCATATGTCCAGCAGTGTTTATCAGACTGTTATTGAAGAGCTGGGAATGTAGCTTACTGGTAAGGCACTTGCCTAGTGTGTATGAGGCTCTGGATTCACTCCTGAATAAAAAAAAAAGAAGGAAGGACAGAGAGAGGAGAGATGGAAGAAGGGAGAAAAGAAAACAATATGTTACTAATAGGCAGTTTCGTGCACTCAAGGAGAAATATACACAATAATATGTGTATACCCTTGCAGTTTTGGTTTACAAGAAATTTAACCAGTTCAGGTGGGAGATCTTTTTTGGTGTTATTTTTCTGGGGTTTTTTTGAGACAAGGCCTCGTTATGTAGTTCAAGCTGATCTTGAACTCACTGTAAAGCCCTGAGTGGCCTTGAACTCCAATCCTCCTGCCTCAGCCTTCCGAGAGCTGGGATTACAGGCATGCACCATCATACCTTATGTAGGTGGGAGATCTTATTAATACAGATTTCCCAAGCAGATATTATAAAACTACCTAAGTTTCTTGTGTACCATGTCTGTCCCACTCAGCTCTTCTACCCTATTCTCATTCCCTCATGATTATCTACAGGAGGTACTTTACCTACTTAACATATAGCTTGTGTGGTATGTGAAGCTCTGCCCTTATACCAGTCTTATTAAAAAATTCCATAGCATAATGATTTAAAAAATTGTAAGCAGTGGCTATACAAAATAAGAATAAAATGTACAGAATTTCTCATTTAAAGGTAGCCCAGCTACAAACAAATCTGTGACCAAAGAATACAGAATTTGTTAGTGAGTAGGTCTGTGTTGCTGTCTTTTACCACCAGCACTGGCTTCTTTATGGGAGTCTTGTAAAAATCCAGTCTCAGAATAACATTTATGTGAACATCTTTCTGTATAGATAATTCTAATAAATTACTACTACACCTCCCAAAGAGACTTTCTTACTTGGCAGCGTATTTTCTGCAATGCCTGATAAACTTTTGCAAGATGTCTTTTAACCAAGTTTAAAAGTATTCCTTTCAAAAATTGTTGTGCTTAGTTATTCTGATCTAAAAGTACTTTTGAGGCTATTTTGTCAGCGTTGTTCAAGTCCTGATGATATATTAATCATAAAACAAAGCAGCACCCTTTGTTTGTATTCTTTAGGTACAGAACTTTCCAGCTGGGGTTACACATCATTTTTAGAGCTGTGTTTACTTCCACTCCTAGAAATTGTTATTTTTGGTACCAGGAATCAAACTCAGGGCCTCAGGTTTGCCAGGCAGGCACTGCACCACTGAGCTACATCCCTGGCCCCTCCTAGAAGTTCTGATTCAGTCACTCCATTTGTTTTTTGAATTTTAGAGATGTTTATAATAGGTGCATTTCCACTTGAGTACCACTGCCAGCTTAAATTTGAATTGGTACCACACAAATTCCATTCAACAGGAAGGTGTGTTCTTTCATACAGTTTTATGACTTTACAAAGAGCAACCTAGAAAGTAGCTGGAAGGAAATCTTAACTCTGTCATCAGAATTTGGATTAAGGGAACCAAAAAAGGCTAACCTGCAGAGACAGACAAAATATTTTGCAAGAGTCGGTAGCACACGAAAATACTAGATCCAATCACCAACCAAGACTCTGAATTGAGCTGTTTCTACACCAGTGTCTTGAGTCTAGTACATAGCTCTTGTCGAAATGCTTCAAAGCCTCTCCATAATCCAGAAATTGTCTTGTGCATCCCAGAGCTTAATACAAGCAATAATGCAGCAAGCCTGAACTCATCATTCTTTGAAGTTCCTGGTGGGTTTGGTGGCTGACTTTGTAGTTCAAAATTACAGACATTACACAAAATGCTTCTGCTAGCTCTTAGTAAACATGGAAACATCTGGCAAGAGATGCCTTGATTTGTTACTAAAGATTGTCAAGAACAAGGAGATCATTTTGCTCATTAACTGACCCTTAAGTACTGGCAGTTAGTCTAGGAAATTATGCCAATATTAACATATCTAAGCAGGCCTGACTTTTAGCAAGTACTTTAGAAAGAGGATATTAGGCCCAGATTTGCAATTCAGCCAACTAAAAGAATAACGTGTTTATTGATTAGGATTAGATTTGGCTATTTAAAGAAATCCAGATGACTGTAGCTTAGTCAAAGTAGAGATTGAGTTTTATTTTGGATAAGAAAAATTCTGAAAGAAAAGCAGTCCAGCACTGGCATGGTTACTCCATAACCCTGAGCATCTCAAGTTCTTCACCTCTTTTCCTCCATCATTCTTGGCACTGTATTATATCTGCAAGGTGTATGCTGATTCTAGACAGCTCCTGGGTCTTCAAAGGTTCATAACCTGCGTCTGGTGAGCGCCCATGAAAGACTTTGGTTTTTGGTTTTGGTTTTCTTTGGTACTGGGGATCGAACTTGGGTCCTTGCACTTGCGCAGCAGGCAGTGAAACCACCGAGCTAAATCCCCAGCCCATGAAAGACTTTTGTAGAACCACCCCATCCAGTGATTTCTGCTTCAATCTCACTGGTCTTTCACATTGTCAAAGGAGGCTGTAAAGTTGTAATTTTATTGCTTTTTACAACAATCAGATATTCTGTTAGTAAATAGGAAGAAGGGGATATTGGACAGGCAACCAACAGACTGCCACAGCTGGCCTTGGAGAACTTATTTACATTAGGAAAATAAAATTTTAGTGGCATCAAACACTGTTACATAGGACATAAATTTAAAAACACCCCAAACTGCATCTACCATGTGCCTGATAAATAAAAGCAGTAAATCTGTAGGGTAGAGTGCTTTGCACTGGATTTCTTTTAGATTTCATTAGAAAGAGCTGTTAGGTTCTGGTTTTGTTTCTGACTTTTGAGATAAGGTCTCACTATGTGGTTCAGATTGGCTTTGAACTCACTATGTAGCCTAGGCTGGCCTCGAACTTGTGATCCTCCTGCCTCAGCCTCCCAAGTGCTGGGAGTACAGGTTGCACCACCACACCTGGCGACAGCTGTTAGGTTTTGGGTATTTTAAATAACCTGAAAAAGCAACTTCTTCAAAAAACAACAGTGGAAAAAAGATACTTCAGGTTAAATCCTATTTCCTTTTGGAGATAGGGACAATAAAAACAACTGCAAAACTAGCGGGCATATAACAGTATTAGATGATACAAACCAGGAATGAACATATGGAAAATACTGAACTTGTTTAGTATTTAAGCAGAAGATAGACTAATGTAGTATAGGTGATAAATACAAGATGTGATAAAGATACAGTGAATATTTAAAAAGTTTTTTAATTATTACAGTAAAAACATGTTGCCATTAATTTCACTCACAATATTCCCCTTCACATGAACATGTTTAGCCCATCGTTCTTGCCACTTTCGGAAGCAGTTCTGGAAATCCTCTTTCATGTGTTTAGTTGTGTTGTGGCTGCCTCAGTTGCCTGAATTGATCTAAAATGTTTACTTTACATCATTATTTTGACTTTGTGGAAGAGCCAGAAGTCACAGGGAGCCGGATGAGGCCTCAGTGTAATGTTTTTACAAGGCTGCCTTCCATTGGCTGGCATGTGGCAGCAGCATTCCCCATATTTTTTTATCATACCTCATAAAGACACTCAGTTTATATTTTGATCACATCTTATATTCATAGAACATAGCAATGAATTACGTTAATTCCAGATACATAAGTCCTACCCCGGAGAGGATATATTAGGGGTGTATTGCCTCTGCCTGTATTTCACCCATATACAAAGAAAATGAAAAAATGCAGAGAATTTTGTGGTCTAAAAATTCTGGAAGCAGAAACAAACAGTAGTTGACAGCATATATACCTGTAGATCATGGTGCATATGTGTGAGGTACAAATGTTTCTGCTCTATGAGACCAGATAATTTTTTTTTTTTTTTGAGACCAGATAATTTTTAAGTTTGTAGTCTTGTAAGTTCCACTGTTATGGTACCATTTAACACATATTTTCTAAATTCCTCATATTTGTAGTATGCTTATGGAGAAAATTCATTTACAAATAGCTATTTTAAATTTTAAATCTGAGGAAAACCCAGGCTTGCTTTATTTTTCATTTTTCTTCCTTTTCCTTTCATAATTACTTATTAGCAGCTAAATGCAAACTTCCCATTGACTTTTCTCCACCTGACAGAAAACAGAACACTACAGAGATTCCCTGTGAGGAGAGAGCCGGTTGTGCTGGTGTGGGGCCAGCCTGCACCCTCTGTGACCTCCCCCTTCAATCTGAGTTCTCCATGGGGCACCACATCAAACAGCTCATAAGCATAGGGAGTACTAATGAAACCAGCTAATGCCACAGCATCTGTTACCCTACCCTTTGAACCCAGCAAGCCATCTTTTGAACCTTTTATGATATTGCACTTCCAGGCTTCCTTTGGGAAGAATAGCATACACTCTGATGCAATAATAGATGAGGGTCTTACATCGAAGTGCAAATGCCTTTGGCACTCTGATATGAAATAACTGCGTATTTGAGCATACTGTGCAATGACTTAGCCTTTCCCATCCATTATTAGTTCCCACTGAAGCTATTGTGCTCAGTTTAAATTTTCTAGTAGGGCCTGTGAAAGGAAATGGAAATCTCACAAATTGTACTTTATTTATAGCTGACTCGTTGCTAATGCAGTTGTCTCATATCTTGGTATTTGTGTCTCCTGTTCCATTCCCTGTTTGCCCTCTGCTTTCAGCTGAAGGTCTCCCACAGGTGTACTACTTTGGACCATGTGGAAAGTACAGTGCCATGGTACTGGAGCTCCTTGGCCCTAGCTTGGAGGACTTGTTTGACCTCTGTGACCGAACCTTTACTTTGAAGACGGTGTTAATGATAGCCATCCAGTTGGTAAGCTAGCGTTGATATTCCGGAGAGACTGGTCTTCCTGTCACACCCTCGAGGGCCTTCTGGTAATTTATTAACTGTAGCAGCACCTAGTGAATTAGTTCTTGGAAATGACACTTTTTTTTGGTACCAGGGATCAAACTTGGGACCTTGTGCTTGCAAGGCAGGCAGTGGAACTACTGCGCTAAATCCCCAGCCCTAATTAGTTCTTAAAGGCTTGCCAGCATTCTAGGAAGCTTGCTGGGGCAAAAAGGGTTAACTCAGAGAAGTCACACTGTATCTGCAATTTGCTCTATTTTAAGAATTTGCACCTTGGAGCTATACCCTGCCCTTAACTGAAACGGAAACACAGAATTTAGATGAGGGAGAAAGGATGATTAGGTGGAGTTGTACACATTCAAATAATTGTTTTATTTATAGGTTTTAAACAGCTGTGAGGTGTTGTCATGTCCTCCCTCTTCTCTCACTATTGCATCTTAGGAAAGATTGAAGACATAGCCCATGGCTCTAATCCTCATTTAAAGTTGTTTGATTGGGGGTGTGGGGAGAAAGAAACCCTTATCCATTGTTGGTGGGAATGCAGACTGGTGCAACCACTGTGGAAATCAGTATGGAGAAACCTCAAAGAACTAGGACTAAGAGGTCCCATTTGACCCAGCTATTCCCCTGCTGGGAATCTTCCCCAAAGAATTGAAAGAACCATACCACTGCGATATATGTGCACCTATGTTTATAGCAGCACAGTTTATAATAACGAAAGCTTGGAATTAGCCCAAGTGCCCATCAACTGGAAACTGGATAAAGAAGGTGTGGTTTTTTTATAAAATGGAGTACTCCTCAGCCATAAAGAACGAGAAACTAGAGACATTTATAGCTAAATGGATGCACATTGAGACTATACTCTTAAGTGAAATAAATAGGATACACATGTGTAAATACCGAATAGTTTCTCTAGTGTGAAAAACTGAAAGTGTAAATAAGGATTAAAATGATTAAAATGAATAATTGATAATTTGAAATAGGAAGAAAAGGTCCAAAGGGGTAGGGAAAGTGGGAGGGGAAGGGGAAAGGAAAGAAGGGAAAGGAAAAAATGGAAACAAAGTCTTTGTAAATAGGGAAGGGAGCACATGGAATGGGGAAAAAATAAGAACCAAGATGGATCATGTACAGGTACAAGTACCCAGTGATAAATGTAAATGTATTATATACCTAAAATGTACCAATAAAAGAATTTAAGAGAAAAAAAATAAAGTTGTTTGATCAAAAAATTGTCCTCTGGCATTGTAAGCCTCTGGCTGGCCAAGAGACAACTCTTGTACACCAGTCTGGATTTCTGGAGCAGTTGCTGCTGTGCCCCTGAGAAGCGTGTCAGGCCTCAGGGGAAGGATGCAAATGCATCTTTACTCGCTTGACACCATAATAGTCTCATCCATCGCCTAGTAGACATGTGGAAAATACTGTATTAGAAAATTCAAACGTCTAAGTTTCCTTTGTAAACTAAGAAGCTTTGTAGATAGAAATAGTGAAATTTGACATAATGTTATGATTATTATTTGGAGATATAATTACTTTAAAAACTGCAGTCCTGTCCCTGCTACTGACTAGCTGTCTAATGTCAGGCCAGTATTAACTTCTCTGGGCCTCACTTTTCTTAATTTCTACAATGATGGAAGCTGGATTGAGGAGTCTTGTCCAGGTCAGAATAGGAAGATAGAGTCAGGAAATGAACATGCTGTGGTCCCTGTCCTACAAGTCATTGATTCCCTGGCATCCTGACTGGTACTATGTCTTTTCTCTCAAAGACTTCCTGAAGTAGCATAAAAATAATCTTATTAATTGTATGAATTGTGACATTGTAAGGTAAAATTATATTATTATTTTAGCCAAACTGTACCATTCCACCCTTCCTAATCAAGTCAGTAAAGTGGGTGGTAAAGAAGAGATCACTTTTATTTTTATTTTGTTAGTTAATACCTAATGCTGAGCTGGGCTCAGCACATCTGTAACACCAGCTACTTGGAAGCCTGAGACAGGAGGCTTGCTTGAGCCAAGGAGTTCAGGATCATCCTAAACAACATTGCAAGACTGGTCTCAAACAATGACACAAAGAAGCGGGGTGTGGTAGTGCACACCTGTAATCCCAGCACTTGGGAGGCTGAGGCCAGAGGATCTACATGGGTTCAAGGCCAGCCTGAACTACATAGCAAAACCCTGTCTCAAAAAAAAGAAAGAAAAGAAAACATAAGACAAAACAAAACAAAAACCAAACCAAAATCCTTATGACAAAATATTTTGATTTTTTAAATATGCTTATTTAAAATATTTCCATTTGTTTTTTGTTGTTCTCTTCTAGCTATCTCGAATGGAATATGTGCACTCAAAGAATCTCATTTACCGAGATGTCAAGCCAGAAAACTTCCTGATTGGCCGACAAGGCAATAAGAAAGAACACGTTATACACATTATAGACTTTGGACTAGCCAAGGAATACATTGATGCTGAAACCAAAAAACACATAGCTTATAAGGAAAACAAAAGTTTAACTGGAACTGCAAGATATATGTCTATCAACACGCATCTTGGCAGAGGTGTGTTTATTTTCTGCTCCATGAAAGGGGCAGGTTATTAGAACAACTTTATTTCAGTAACACTTTTATTCCATTGTGCTTTACAACTTTTACTTACTGATTCCCAAGGTAAGTGATTTTTGTACTTGAGAAATTAAAATGGTAAGTTAATAATTTTCTTAAGTATCCTGCTGACTACTAATGGATTCTTAATTCTTTACACTGTTTCCAGATGTTTAGGCTCACATTTCTCAGTAATATGAAAACTTGAATTATTGTAACAAAAGTCCCCATATTTTTGTGAGTTTAATTATGATTTTCACATGGTAGCTCTGTAAGTAAAAGACAGCAGACCGATATCTGCTTGGGAAAGAGTACTTTGCTAAAATGTGTCCTGGTCGTCCTGGTCTTTGTTCACTCTGAATAACTTCATGCAGAGTCTTCAAGGAAGAGCTTCCATCTTAAACAGTGAAAATATATTTGCTGTACTCTGAGTGTTGTATTTTTTTTGAGATAAACAATCTGTACAGATATTACTAAAAGCTCTAATAAACACAGAAGACCCTGCTTGATGGAAGAACTAGCTCAAGTGTTTGTGAGAGAAGCTAAGTCCTGGGCAGGCCCCTTGTTAACGTTTCAAAAGCTTCCCTTTTTGTTTTATAAATTGGGCTTCCATGAAAGCCCAATTATTTGAATAAAAGGTACTTAGGTGGTTGAAAGAATAGGAAAATCAACATTCTAGATAGTAGATGGGTGGTGAACAAAATATTATCAGGTTCTGAACTCCCTGACATAGCTAATTATATAAGGTCTTTAAAATATTAAGGAACTGTTGTACACTAATAAGTATTTTGAAGACTAATGTAATATCTACTAAATTTCCTCATTTAAGTAAACTACACAGGTATTCAGATGAAGATTCTAGTGATAGTGAAGAATAAAATAACATTAGAAAGTAATGGGATATAATGTAAGTTGAAATCATGAGTGCTGTCAGGATTTTTTCAATAACTCCATAGAAATCCTCATTTGTTATGATGCTTTCAAATTAGACTAGACTCTGCCACCTATCATTGTCATTTCAGACAAGCTGTTTAATCTTCCTGAAACTTATCTATAAAATAAAGATCATACTTCAGAAGGATGCTTTGAGAAGTTGCATGTGGATAAGATATGTAAAAGCACCATGCCTGTCTTAGTCTAATTTCTCTTGGTACACAGAATACCTGAAACTGTATAATATACCCAAAGAGGTTCATTTAGCCACTGTTCTGTGGCATCACGTGGCATAACCTTGTGCCAGAGTGATGAGGGGGTGCAGCACATGTGAAATGAGAGGAGAGGACAAGGGGACCAGGCAAATTATAACAACTTTGGTGTCAGGGTGGGGTGGGGGAGATGAGAACTAATCCAGTCTCACAGAGAAGACATTAAGTCCACGTATAGGCCCAACCTCCCAATACCTCTGCCTTGGCAATCAAATTCTCCCTGGATTTTGGTCATGGTCAGACCACATCCAGCCCATAATAGTACCTGACACAAGTCTCTTGGACACCCTGTTTTAATATCCTTCTCTTCCTTCATATAACATGCAGTCTTCCTTTTTACAAGGAGATAGACTGTATCATGTAGTAAAGTCATAGTTGTTAGGTTTAACAAAGTCTAAAAGTTGCTCAAATGCTTGCTTCCTAGGCTCAACACTTCATGTACTGATTTTATTATTTTTGTCCGGAAAGTCAAGAACAGACAAGGGATGGGGATCCATTTTTGTTTGAATAAAATGCAGTGTAATTTTTAAGAAAAAAGGATACAAATTGGTCCTGGTGGTACAGACCTACAATCCCAGCACTCTGGGAGACTAAGGCAGGAGGATCATAATTTGGAGCCCAACCTAGGTAATTTAGTGACTTAGTAAAACCTTGTCTTAAAATAAAAAATGAGTTGCAGATGTCACTTAGTGTGAAGGCCCTGAATTCAATCCCCAGTACCAAAAAAGAAAGAAGAAAAAAAAATGGATGGAGAGGTGCAAATTCCAGTCCTTTAAAGCTATGTGATTTTTGTCAGGCAAACTTTCTCCCTCAGTCTCAGTTATCTCATCTATAAAATGAGAATGATAATAGTTCCTGTAACATAGGGTTTCCATGGGATAATATGAAGTATTTAGTGGCTGATAAATAAGTGTCTTTCCATGTGGTGGTTATCCTTAATATGGTTATCCTTAATATTCTGTATTCAGCAAGCTATGTTTTTTAAGCATCTACTGTGTATCAGACTAGGCTCTTTCTTCTTTTTGAGAGATTCTTGCCATACAATCCAGGCTGGCCTCAAACTCATGGCAATCCTGCCTGAGCCTCCTGAGTGCTGGGATTACAGGCATGAGCCACCATGCCTGGCTAGGCTCTTTCAACTCTTAGTAAACTGCCAGTCCTGCTAAACCTTTGTGTTTATCTCAAGAATTCTATGTCCCAGGTCCCAGAGTTTCTCAGGTCAGATCCAACCTGTCACTATTTTGTTTCCTCCCCGTATTACATAGAATACGTACAGATGGTGTCACTGCCATTTAACTCTGTCCCAGGTATCAAACCAGAAAGATTCCCATAGGAACTCTAGTGCTATTGGTTTTTAAGTGTGATGCATTCTGTGTTGCAATGAAAGGAGGAAAAAATAGACTGGGAAATGTATTTCAAAAGACTTAGAGAGAATGGGTGTTAAGATTTTTACGGAAGAAGAGCAAAGGAAAAAGGCTCCTACACCTGGCATCACCATGACAGATAAGCCACCTTCCCACTGATTGAGTCCTGATTGAAACTGCTCAGTCAGTATTGTTTAATGATTGAAATTACAGTGTAGATACTGGTTACATTGCCTTTCTTCCAACATGGAAGCCAAGTACAGCCTTCTGATTAGCTAAAAGGAAGCTTTCATGGTGTTGAAAAATGTTTCCTATTGTTCTCTGGTTTTGAAACCTTTTTGCTTTAAAAATGAAAATATCCTCCATGAAAAAGTGAAGGTGTGTGGAAATAAAGAACAGATGTGGAGAGCCAGGGATTTAGCTCAGTGGCACCCTGCCTACCTCACAAGCGCAAGGTCCTGAGTTCAATCCCCAGTACGAAAAAAGCAAAAACAAAAACAAAGAATAAATGTGCAGTGTTCAAAGAAGAATGAAAATAAAGCACACTCTGGTTTTCACTCTTTTTTTTCTTGAAAAGTCCAAAGGTGGTTGAAGTTATGATTGATTATTTTAGAATTTTAGGGCTGGAAAATGATTTTTCACATTATCTAAATCAACCACTTTATTTTTAGATGACGAAACTAAGGCCCCAAGCAGTGACTTGGTTGTGCTTAATTTCACTGGATTAAATGAATGGAAAGGATAAGCTGAAACCTAGATCACTGAACCAATTTAAGAACCACTGTTTTTCCTGTTAGCCACATCCCATAATTATTCTTCATGGTGCTTGGGATTGAAAAGTGACTTTTACTCATTCTGGTGAGCTTGAAAATTTTTAAATCCCATTTTACAATGGGCTTAACAGTGAAGAGAATTTTCCCCCTCTGTGAGCCTGATTAATATTGAAAATGTGGAGAGTTTTGCCCTCTAGTGCTCAGCTAAAATTCAACTATTAGGTGTATCTTTTTTTTCTTTCTTTCTTTTTTTTTTAAGCCAAGGTGCCTCTTGTTACAGGAGGTGGATATAAAAATGGAGAGGTGATGAGTAGGTGTGATACAGTGTGAGAAGCTGCAGTGAGTGGTTTCTCTGTGTGTTCTGCTTTGTGGGAGGCCTGAGCACACCCTGCATATTTTCCATTTTTCATTTTTGTGTCTTTGTGTTCTGTTAACAAGCTTTTTGTCTAATTGCTTTTTGATATCAATTATACATGTAATATTCTATTTTATTTTATGTATGTATATATTTATTTATTCCTTTATTTTGGTACTGAGGATTGAACTCAGGTCCTTGCGCTTGCGAGGCAGGCGGCGGAACCACTGAGCTAAATCCCCAGCCCCGACATGTAATATTTTATTGCTGACTTCACATAACCCATATGGATAAAAGTGTTTGATGATCTCCCTTTTTCCTTTTTTTTTTTTTTTTTTTTTTTTTGGTACCGGGGATCGAATTCAGGACCTTGTGCTTGCGAGGCAGGTGGTGGAACCACTGAGCTAAATCCCCATCCCTGATCTCCCTTTTTTATTTCTTTGTTTTTGAGATTATTTCAAGACAGGTGTGGTGGTGTATATTTTTAATCCTAGGAGGCAGGAGCATCTCAAGTTTAAGCCCCGCCAGGGCAATTTAGGGACTTAGGAAGACCCTGTCTCAAAATTTAAAAATACATACATACATACAATATAAATAAGGGCTGGACATGTAACTCAGTGGGAAGGATTTGGGTTCAATCTCTAGTACCATTTTTTAAAAAAAGATTATTCCAGTTGAGGTACAGCACTCAGTTTTATGTTATTTATCTCTTTGTGAGGGTGCTTTTTCTTTGTTTTTCTTTATTATTTTTGGGGGGGTACCGGAGATTGAACTCAGGACCTTACAATTACAAGGCAGGTGACAGAACCACTGAGCTAAATCCCCAGCCCCTCTTTTTCTTTGTTTTTAAAGTACTAGAGCTGGGTTTGGTGGCGCACACTTATAGCACCAGCACTTGGGAGGCTGAGGCAGGAGGATTGTTGCCTTTGAGGCCAGCCTGGGCTACAGTGAGTTCAAGGCCAGCCTGAACTACATAGCAAGACCTTGTCTCAAAAAACTGAATGAATGAATGAATGAATGAATGAGCGATCTAGATACTGAGTCCAGAGCCTGGATAAGCAGACTTTCTACTACTGAACTACCTCCCGAACCAGGAGTGCCTCCTCTTTCCATTAGTGACCACCTTTACAAAACCTTTCTTCCAACTGCTATTTAGAAAGTTACCCTTTCTTTCTTCATCTACCCCTAGAATACTGTTCATTCTTTCTCATGCAGATTTCCCACAATTCTATACAACAGTTAACCATGATCTACTTGTGTATTTTCAGTAAGCTGGGTGGCTGGCTTCTCCTGCTCATATGGCAATCTTGGATTTTACTGTATTGCACACACACAAGAAAAAAACATCAAGGGCTGGGCTATGGTTTTGGTAGAGTGTTTGCGTAGTACGCACAAGACCCTGCATTCAGTTCCCAGTACCTAAAAAAAGAAAACCACCCCCCCCTTACACACACACACAGAGTCCAGTTAAAGGTAGCCTCTTGGTTTTGCATCTGTAATTTTTTAAATAAAGTCTTACACCTGATTATGAAAAATAAAGCACATAAATTGTCTGTGATGAACCATAAATGGCAAATTAGTGTCATATAGCCAGTATTCAGCCAGACAGCCAAAGAATATATATTTTCAAGTTAAAGCTGTATTTTTAAACTATTTTCTGTAGCAAACAATTCATCTTCCTAATTCAAAGGAAAGAAAACAACAGGAAATTGTTTTAATTAAGCTCCCCAGATGCCGACACTCTGTTTTTTTGTTCCCATAGAGGTTTAAGGTTAATGAATTTTAAATTTTTATGAAGGACATTCTGATACAGTATATGGTACAAATGGAATGGGAACCAAGAGATTATGCATTGAGATTTGCTTATATGAAACTGAATTTTAAGTGTTAATTTTTATGCTGAACAATAAGTGCTAAGCATGTATGTTAGCCATTCTGTAGCTTCCATACCTAGAGTAGACAATTTCAACAGCTTCAGCTGCTTAATCTGCCACTTACTGTCGCTGGTGGTAACCAAAGAGTAATTGTACTCCATATAAATCACTTCACTTTCAGTCAGGTGACAGCATTGAGTGAGGGGTCATTACTCACTGTTCAGTGATTGGGGCTTGATTTTAATTTAGGATTTGCTCTTATCACTTGCTGTTTACATGCTAGCAAGAGATCCTGACAAAGAAGTACACGTAGTATTTTAGATCAAAACGAAAAACAAGTTTCTGGTTTAGATATACAAAGAACTAATAAGCAGAATCTTTCTCCAGAGCAGAAGGGTTTCTGAAAGGATTACTCGATTTGAACCTCTTTCTGCTTTCATACCCACAAACATATTGTGTGATCTGTCTTCCCTTTTAGAGCAAAGCCGGCGAGATGATTTGGAAGCCCTAGGCCATATGTTCCTGTATTTCCTTCGAGGCAGCCTACCTTGGCAAGGACTCAAGGTATCCTTGAAAATGCTCGGTGGACAGCTCTGTCTCAATGCTCAGTTGTAAATGAGGGGCTGCTGGCTTGGGCTATCTAAGAAGCCACAGAGATGAGATGCAAGAATTCATCTACATTGTAAATGCTCACCTGAGCTTTGGAATCTTTGTTTTATTTACAGTTGGCTTCTTCCTGCTCTTAATCCTTCCCTCTTTGTGTTTGGTTTTTCGATAATCTTTCCCCTTATCTTTCCCAGCTTTGCAGTGCTGCTTTTCTTTCTGTGTTGATATCCTTCCTCCCCTGCCATTATGGAGCAGAAGGAGTGTTCCCAGTGTGTCGGGGAATTTCTGGAACAAATTGATGACAGCAGCTGCTACATATTTACCAGAAATGCCAGCAGGGTAGGCCCCTAACAGGAACTGGAAAGTATTTGTTCATACAGCTTAGGCTAAGAACCAACCAAAACTAAAGTGAAACTACGGGTTTTAAGTATATTATAGAATAAATATCTTCTGCCATTCAAGTGTATTGTAGAACAAATACCCTTTTCAGACAACAACAATTCCTTGCAGGCTGTGTGTTTGAATAGTCTTACTTAGGTAGGTATCAATTCAGTGCCAACATGTCAGAGATAACCGTATCATCATAAATATTGTAATTGCTCTGTGCCTCTGGCTGTTAGACTAGGAAATGGTGAGCTTCTTACCCATCTTAAGTCCCTTTAGATAGTTAAATATGAGATACATTTTTACCAAGACTTGCCTGGGCTACATAGCAAGACCCGATCTCAAAAAATCAAAAAAAAAAAAAAAAAAAATTTTTTTTTTTTTTTTTTTTTTTTGTTTTTTTTTGGTACTGGGGATTGAACTTGGGACCTTGTGCTTGCGAGGCAGGCACTGGAACCACTGAGCTAAATCCCCGGCCCAAAAAGACTTCTCCAGGTTTTTTTTTTTTTTGGTGCTGGGGTTCGAACTCAGGACCTTGCACTTTCAAGGCAGCTGCCAGAACCACTGAGCTAAATCCCCAGCCCCAAAGATTTTTAATTGTAACTTATTTCAACATATTAATGTAGGAAGAAATGTAATCTGTAGCTTGGGATTCTCCTATACCTCTCCCTCCAGAAGGGCAGAATTACTCATTTTGCTGTGCTTTCTAGGACATTGTCCTAGGAAAATCAGGCCTCTGTACCCATTATCTCTGAGAAGGTTTTATTATTTGCCCTTAAATGTCTTTCCTAATATCTCACTATAATCTTCTCCTAGTCATATATATGTTCCCCTTGGTATAACTTTAAAGAATTACAGATCCTACTTTCTTATCATGTAGCCAAACAGTACATTAGTGTATAGTCTTATTAGTTTCTTGAAACTCTTTCATGGTCCCTGAATCATTTTAGTGGTAGTGGTAAATTTAAAATCTCTCTATCTCACATTAGCTCACTGCTGCTTAAATCTGAATGAAGCAGGCTAGGTAGAGCCTGATGGAAATCTCTTATGGGCCCATTGTTCCCAGGCATATTGGTGCACACCTGTAATTCCAACTACTTTTGGAAGGCTGAAACAGGAGGATTGCATGTTTGAGACCAACCTGGTCTCAAAATGAAAATTAAAAAGGGCTGGAGGTATATCTCAGTACTTGCCTACCATGAAAAAGGCTTTGGTTTCAATCCCCAATAACACACACACACACACACACACACACACACTCAACTTACTATTGGTACAAGGTTCAGAAGCCCTCTCCTTACAGTCCTGGACAAGCCAGACTTGGGCTGCTTTGAGAAACTGATACTAAACCTATATGCCATGCCTATACTATAGATAATATTTTCCTCTCTGGAAGCATATTATTGAAATGGACTTTTTCACTTCTTGTCCTTTTTCTCCATCCAATTTCTTATTATACATATAGTGGAACTATCTGTTTCTTCTACTTGATTAGGCAATACTTTTAATCTTAAAATTGATCTAAGAGGGAGAAGGCTGAATCACTATTGAACTCCAGTGGCCATAAGAGATTACCAAATTTCTGCAATTTTGAAAATATTGCTACATAATATTTTTATTTTCTTATCCCTGCTGCTCATGTCATCATATTTAATGTCTGTATCTGAGATTTTTTTCTGCAAGTATTTGCAAGTAAAACTTTGCAGAATCCAGTAGCTATTTGTACATAGCTCATATATACATTTCTTATTAGCGTTAGAGAAAAAATCAAAATTGGGCAACAAATCCTGACAACTTGAGTAAACCATTGTATCCAGACACTTATCAAACCTCTCATAATTCTTTCCAGGTAATTTTCTTTCTTTATTTTCTACAGGCTGATACATTAAAAGAGAGATATCAAAAAATTGGGGACACAAAAAGGAATACTCCTATTGAAACTCTCTGTGAGAACTTTCCAGGTAAGATGCCAGAGGATATTTCAGCCAAAGCATCTAAATCTTTGAAGCAGGTAGAATCTATGACTGGGTATGTCTAGATAAAGTCCTTTCCAGATAATTTACATTTCCTTTTATTGTCATTCAGACAGCATAGGTTTATCACTTTTCTTTGGTACATAAAGAAAATACTTGTATCAGGTACACCGTACAGATACCCTGTGTGGTCTACAGCTTACCCCCACAGGATTCAGCTAACATGCATGGCCTTTCACCTCTTTCCTAACAGAGGAGATGGCAACCTACCTTCGGTATGTCAGACGATTAGACTTCTTTGAGAAACCTGATTATGAGTATTTACGGACCCTCTTCACAGACCTCTTGAAAAAGAAAGGCTACACCTTTGACTATGCCTATGATTGGGTCGGGAGGCCCATTGTAAGTATCTTCTTTTTTTTTTGGTACTGGGGATTGAACTTGGGACCTTGTGCTTGCAAGGCAGGCACCAGAACCACTGAGCTAAATCCCTGGCAGTATCTTCTTTATTACCACCTCATCTCCTTTCTCAGACCAGCACTACCCTACCCTATACTTCTTAGTCTTTCTGCTTAAATCTTTGGTTGTAAATTCCTTTGATTGCAGAGTTCACATTTGCCATCCTTTTGAGGTAATGCTTTCACTGGAGTTGGGAAGTAGGAGTTACACATTTTTAAGGTTATATCTGGTATACCCTGAGATACTGTATGATAATTTGAACCAGTTTTTCAGAAGTTTCATTGGAATGATTCAGAATTTAGTGCTACATATACTGTTAAGGTACTTAACTGCTATAGGAGTAGAACCCAGTAAAATAGAAAAATTGAATTTTCAGTTTTGGTCCGAGGTCCACAAGTCCAAAAAGTATGCTAATAGATATTGTTGCAGAACTTTTTGCTTTTGAAGATAAGTTACTCTCGGGTGAATTATTGAGGACCAGATTGCCTGCCTCCTTTTTGCAGAAGGGCAAAATGAGAGAAGACAAAACTGCACTTGATAGCTGAAAAGAATTCCTACTACTTTATAAGAATTACCATGGTGCTGTCCTGTGCAGAGGCATCAAGTTACACTTGTTTCTCCATTTGACTTTTATTCGTTTTTCTAGCCTACTCCAGTAGGGTCAGTTCCTGTAGATTCGGGTGCATCTGCAGTAACTCGAGAAAGCCACACACACAGGGATCGGCCATCACAGCAACAGCCTCTTCGAAATCAGGTATGTTTTGGTCCTTCATTGTTTCAGACATTGCGTTTCTTCATAGCTAATGGTAAACCCAAATTCTCCGGTTTATTTGTGTTACTGGATTTACTGAAGTTTAAGGAACAGGTTAGCCATTTCTCACTGGTTTGGTATGATATTCTAGCAACCCTCGGGTAATGTATAATTGCATGGAGATAGAGAATCTGGGCCTCTAGGTGTGCTAGCTAAAAGGGTGGAACTAGCTGTCAGATAGGATCTGAGGCAAACTGCCAAGGCCCAAGGATGGCTAGATGTATGAGGACTACTAGGTGACCCACTTTGGGTCTCATCTGTAGTCCGGTCTGGAGTGCATGTCAGTTCTGACTTTTGCTTGATCATTGAAAAGGGTAGGTAATTTAAACTTCCGGCTGACCCTGGGTATGAACTGGAACCTCCACACTACCCCTTGTCATTGTATCCAGCTTAATTCGAGAGCTGGCCAAGGTCCAAGTGGATCTGCAGTAAGACTGCATTGTCGTTTGTCCAGTGTTCATTGTTTGAGAAACTGGTGGTCTACATGAGAGACATCTCTCAGCCTAGTAACATACAAGAAAAACACGAAAAAAAGAAAAAATCAAATTTGACATTTCAAAAAAAGAACTAGGCCTGGATTGTAGCTCAGTGGCAGAAAACTTGCCTATCATGCTTGAGGCTCTGGGTTTTCACAGCACTGTATGGGGCAGGAGAGGGAGTGGAAGTGTACTGATTTGGATGTAATTGATGACAGAAGATCTTTATGTATAATCTATATTGCTAAGAGGGCCGGGGATTTATCTCAGTGGTTTCACTGCCTGGTGCGCAAGCTCAAGGACCCGAGTTCGATCCTGGTTACCAAAAATATATATATAAAAACAGTTTCCTTGATTA